GATAAATCACAATTTGTTTAAGTCAAACCTCAATGTTTGGGTGTGTACCCTATGCCATAATCTTTCAATTCAACCATGGACGAGGTTGTTCATAAAATCCAAAAATGGTTAGACTCCATTCTCGAGGGCGAACGTTGAGCCACGGGAGCATTCAACCCAGTTCGTCAACCAAACACTGAGGGGGGAGTAATGTTGGGAATGGGCCCAACATTCAATCTGGGCCATGTACAATAGGCCTAGTCGTACATCCATAAGCCCAAAATGAAGAGACATCCATACACTAGTACAGACATGCCCACGTGGGTAGTAACACATGGGCCAATTGGATGCTTACACATATGGACTTATGTAAGCACATGGGGCTATAAATACCCCCCTACTACCTCCACTCAAGGTATTAACTCCACTACATTTCTCTCTTTGCAATTACTCCTTGAGAGCTTCTCTTTCTAGAATATTGAGTATTGCTAACTTGAGCGTCGGAGTGTTTTCCCCAAGGGAACATCCTTGGGATTTTTAGGTGTTAAAACAGTTGAAGATATCTATAGTGTAGGATCGTGAAGCTGCCCAAATAATATCTAAGAATGCTCTTTACAAAAAATGAAAAAAGAGATATTAATTAGTTTCTTTTTCATCTGTATATGGTCTCACATGCATTTATAAAATTGTGAGTATACTTACCAAAAACTTCTTCCACTGTGAACCTATTGTATGGATTTGGATCAAGCATGCTCTTCACAAGATCCTTTGCTTGAGAAATTTTAGGCTAAGGGTCTCTTTCAAAATCTATGTTTCCTTTTATAATTGCATGAGCAATTCCTTCTTCAGTTTCTTCACAAATTATAGTAAGGATTTATAAAGAACAGTTGGTAAATAAGGAAGGTTTTTTGTATTTGAGGAAAAACTCATACGAGAGAATGTGATTTAAAAAAAAAATTTACCAACCCAAAAGGGAGGAACTCCACAAAGTAAGATATATAGAATAACACCTATACTCCAAACATCAGCTTCCTTTCCATAGTTACATTTTAAAACTTCTAGATCAATGTAAAAAAGACTTCCAACAATATCACTAAAATGTTGACCTACAATGGCAATGGAGACAAGATTTAGCCAATCTATATATGTAACAAAATCTAGAGCTATAATAGAGTGAGTGCATCAGGAACCGTATTTGAACATGTAGAGAAGTATACTAGGCTCAAAAAAGATAGAGAGACCAAAATCAATTGCCTTCAATGGGGCGGTTTCACTTCCATCAACCAACAAGATATTTTCGGGTTTTAGATCTCGATGGATCACTCCGTGTTGATGAAAAACCTATGTATTTTATAGATTCAAGGAAGTGGATATTATAGGCGATAACATGAGCAAATTTTGAGAGAATTCTTGCACAAACAATAATCAAATTTTAACATTTCATGATACAACAATACTTTAGTATCAATTTGAACGTATGATCCAAACAAAAATTAATTAGATCATTAATGTCATTAGTCTATAAATCACTTACTCTTTCTCCAAAACTAGGCATGAGACAAAGTTTTAATTTTAACAACAAATCATATCAATAACATTTAAACTAAGGCAAGTCAATTACTCAAATTAACATTTTCTTACTTTTATAAAAAAATCTTATGTATTTACAGTCAAATGGAAATCTTTCTCTCTTCTAAGAGAAGAAAAAAAAGTAGCATACGTATAGCTTATACTTTATTAAAATCTTAAGAAATACATGTATTTTTAATTTATGGTAAGAGACATGTGTATAGTTTAAACATACATATTTTTTTCTAGCAAAACATTATACAGTTACCACTTTATGAAGGAGATCACTAATAGCTTTGCAAGAAATATGGACCTTTATCATACATCCCTAACAATCTCTTTAATCACCTATTCTCTTTATTAGGTCCGCTTGTTATAAGTCCACCAGAAGTGTGTTTTGGAAGCTGTGGTCTAGGGTTTAACTCCTATTTACTTTTGATTACCTATTTTCTTTACTGTGCTTCAATTTTGATATATTGAGGATAGTTAATCACATTTCAAACATAAAAATAAAATTAATATTACATTCATCTAACACTAATATAGATGAGAAAATTTTGAAAAAAGGTAGGACTAAAGCCATAAAAAATCAGAAGTCAAAACATACACTAAGAAAGAGATAAGAGTATATAGAATGGAATAAAAAAAAAAAACATTTTTCAATTTTCACTCTCAACTTTTAGTGCCTTAGATCAAATATACTTATATCAAAGGAATAAATGCACATTTTTCAATTTAGAAATTTGTCATTTAAAAAAATTCATTCTTTCTCTTGTAAGCGAGTTGCTAGAACTTTTCTCTTAATTTCTCTCGTTTAATAGCAATTATCAAGTAACACAAGTGAAGCAATTGGCAAATTATTGCCAAAATTGACACTTCCTCTATGGCCAAGGTTAGAAACCCATTCTCCCTCCCTCTCCCACTCTTCTCCCAAATTGGGTTTAGACTAGGGCTGAGCATCAAGTATAAGGTTATCTAATATCTATGGATACTTAACTTGTTCGGCTAATTATTTTTACTTGTATTTCAAAAAAGACAATAAAATAAGAGATATGTAAAAAGTATAGCTACCTAGTATTGGCTCACGTATTAGGCATGGAGGTCTGTACTTATATAGTTGATTTATACACTCAACCTATACTCAAATATATATATATGTATACGTATCTAAGTAGAGATTCACTTACATAAATTTTACACATTACACTTATATAAAATTTTAACTATTCATCTTTTTACTTTTAATAGTTAAGATTTATTCATATTTATTAAAAATAATTATTTTTTTGTCTAAAAAGTCATAATAAATTTCAACCATTGAAAGTGAAGAAATAAATTATTAAGATTTTGTGTAAGTGAGGTGTATAAAATTTATATGTAAATAAATTTCTCCTCTCTATATATATGTATATATAATATCGAAGGAGAGATTAGTGGGAATCAGCCTGTATTACAAAAAATTAGGTGAAAAATACCATAAAAATATATCATTTTTATAAAGTATAACAAGAAAAACAACGTCATTCCTACTTGAAAAATGAGGATATTTTACTCTTTTTCAATGGAATTTTATTAAAATAATGTAGTACTATATATATAAAATAGGGATCAACTTACACAATTTTTGTACATTATACTTATATAAAATCTCAACAATTTATCTCTCTATTTTCAATAGTTGATATTCATATTTATTAAAAATAATTATTTTTTTCATTTAAAATATCATAATAAATCTTAACTAATGAAAGTTAAAAAATGAATGGTCAATATTTTGTATGATATGTAAGATTTGTGTGTGAATGGTTCCTTTCTCATAAATATATGTATGTATATATATATATAAGATATAGATAGATATATATATATATATATATATATAAGATAATGTGCATTAATCCTGACTCTTAAAAAATTAGGGTCCCAACCTACATTTAAAAACCAAAATTCCAATTCAAATTTAGAAATTCATCATATTAAATATTGAAATCTACTTTTGAAAATTGATTATATGTTCTAATATAATTAATTTCCAAATCTAAATACAAACATTTAATAAAAAAATATTTTTAAATTTTGAATTAAGTTTTAATTAAATAAAATGATGTAATTTAAGATTGAACTCTAACTTATTTTAGGAGTTAAGAGTAATATATACTTTTTTTTTGGTACATCAGCAATGATATATACTTTATATATAGATAGTTATGATTCACTTATATACAAATGTTACACACTAATATAAAATTTTGATAATTCATCTATTCACTTTCGATTATTGAAATTTATTCACTTTTTATTATATTTACTAAAGATAATTGTTTTTTCATTTAAAAAGTTAAAATAAATATCAACTATTAAAAATAAATAAATAAATAACCAAAATTTTTTGTAAGTTATTTGTCAAATTTGTACGTGAGTGAATCCTCATTCGTGTGTGTGTGTGTATATATATATGTATATGCCTAATCTATATAATTGATTTGTTTACCTGAATTATACATCATATATAATATATAAGTTAACGAATAACTAATTTTGTTTAGTTTAATTATTAAAAATAACTAATAACTGTAGGTATATTTGAATTACATATCATATAGGTATACCTATACCCAATAACTTGGGTAATAGGTAGAGATTTTTAATGTCTAAGTAACTACTGGATATCAAAATTATATACCAATCAATTTTCGAGTTCTGAACATGTATGAACAAATATATGATACATACCTGTACCTACTCACCCCCATTTTGGACCAACTAACTTACTCAATAAAAAAAAAAAAAAGAAGAAAAGAAATTGTGCTACGGGTCTTTTTTTGGGCAAAAATAGGGGCAAAGTTTGTATTTAATTTTTCAATAATTTATTTTTATTTTTCAAACCTTAGAGGTAAATCAATACCAAACAAGATTGATTATTTTTCAAAAATAAAATTTAGCCAAATAAAAATAATAATTTTCACATAAAAAATAAACAATAAAATAAAAATAGCATTTTTAGCTTTTTACTTTTAGTTTTTTTAATTATTTGATAATTAACTGTACGTTTCTCAAATTACATAAAGTTAAATGCATATATTTTGTCACGCCCCAGAACCCAGATCCAAGGACGTGACAGACGCCGTGCACTCGTGAGTGAATCCCACAAATGCACAAGGTTCGGAACTTATTCAATTCACATCTGACAATCCCATAACTCAGATCGAATATATCAAGATTTCTTTTCTATGTCCATATGACTTAACCTCAAAATCTCCTGATCAAATCTCTTATAAACTAACAATCCACTAAATGAATTTACAATCTCCAATTAAAATCTCGCTTACAAGATCATCATCTATATCTAAAATCCATATTCAATTTACACGATGGCTAGCCTTCTAACTCGTCACTTCCCGTGGTTTCCCCGTCCTCGGTTTCACTTCCTGAAATGGTGAACAAGGAAAACTATGAGATAACTCAGTAAGTAAATATGGATAGCCTTGGGTAAAACTTTTAACATGCCAGATAAAACATGTAAGCATAACAGAACTTTCACTGATAAACCGTTAATGCGGAAATCAAATTCGGTTTAATAGCAAAGCGTTCAATGACAAAATCGTCAATGCAAAATCAAACTCAGTTCAGTAGTCTCATCTATAAGTCATGGCCAGTGTTATAACAACCCACTGGCAAGCGACATAAATGTGCCAATGTATTTGCCCAGTGGCAGGCGTCAGAATGTGCCAATGTATTCGCCCAGTGGCAGGCGTCAGAACAAACCGGTCATATCAGTAAACATGTCGACATGTGCTAGCGTTACACCCACTAGCGGGGATCAGAAGTGCTACACACCCACTAGCGGGGATCGGAAGTGCTACACACCCGCTAGCAGGGATTGGAAATCATGACTATATCAGAGACAAAACCATATAGGATTACGAAAATCCCAAATTCACAATCGAAATCCGTAATTCACAATCGAAATCCCAAATTCACAATCGAAATCCCAAATTTCAGAAATAACCAGAAAATTCCATGTGGGCATGGATTTAACAGAAAATCATAATTTACAAAAATTCTTAAATCATCAGAGCAGTTCAGTAAGTTCCAAATAGGCATGCTCTACTTCAGAAAAACAATGAAATCCTCATTTTCATTCCAATCATGCTTAATTCCAGTAAAACAATGAAATCCTCATGAAAATCATCAAAATTCTCTTTTCAGTTTAATCACACTCAGATGTGGATAAAATCAATTTAAAATCAATTTAAACCTTGCCACCATCTCAAAAATAATTGAAAACATGCTTTAAAATTGACGGGCTTTACCATGATTTACTTACCTCACTCGCACAGAACAGAAGGCTAACCCAAGAGCTACGGTGACAGAACGATCAAAACCTAATCACAATATTCCACAATTAATAACCATACCACCACAAATTCACAGTGAAATCATCATTAGTACTACCCCTAATCACAGTGCCATTTTCTATCAATCTCCACATAACCGGACATCTCCAAATTCATTATTATATCACAAACTAAACCTTTAAATCCCCATTAATCGTTGACCCTCGGTGTGTGAACAGTGCTTATGAACAGTACCCCGTGAACAGTACCATGTGAACAGTACCTCAACTACCAAAATTGACAAAACATAGCTAATTCATGGGGTTTTTCTCCAAAATCTCACAACAATCATGACAAGCTAATTTTCTACTTAAACCACACTTAAAAACATAGCTTAAAGCTACCAAAATTCATTCCAATTTCCCGGACAAGCAATGGAGACCCACGGCTTTGGCCAACAATGGCTAAGTCACGAGGTTACTCCTACACAACATCACAACAGCCCAATTAACAAAATTCCTACATAAACCAAGCATAAACACATTTAAATGCTACCGGAATTCCTCCCCCATTTTAGCAAAATTCGGCAAGCACAGGGCAGCACTTAATGGACAAAACCCAGCAATTAAATGGGTAATTTCAAGCTTGGAAAAGACGGCTACTTACCAGAATTTAGCAAGCAAAACCGAGCCTAGCAGGGGGGAAGAAGCCGGCGGCAGAGAAGAAGGAATTCTGCAGGGGAACTCGCGGCTACCCAATCCAAAAACCAAAACACAATTCAAGGTAAACCCAAACCAAATTCAAAGCTAAAGAGATGAATTCTTGGCTGAATCTTACCAGAAAAGCCCAAAAACCTCACACCCACATAGCAGCCGGCGGACAGGGGAGAAAAAGCAGACCAGATTCGGGATTTCCAGCAGAGGGGGGGGGGATTTCTGGGTTCAAGAACAAGAAGAGAAGGAGAAAATCCCAAGCTTGGTCACCAATTTTTCTCAAAAAATGAGTCGGTGGCTAGAGGGGCTTGGGGGGGCTGTCGGGAGGAAGAGTCGGGAAGAGGAAGAAGATGAGGACGAGCAAAACACGTGGCTGAGGAGAGAAATATCAGCCTTGATCCTTATCCTAACTTTCTTTCTTTTTAGTCCCTCAACTTTTACAAATTTTACGATTAAGCCCCAAAATAAAATTTTTTCCCCAAATAAGTCCCCAATCAAATGCTAAAATACCCCAAAATTTTGGGATATTACATATTTTTTAGGCACTAAGGATTAAATGCACCTTTCTCCATTTATGCTATCACAAAACCTCCAAAGATGTGATAATAAACTAAAGTTTTAGTTTGAAAATTATTTAAATGAAATACCACAGTAGCTTAAAAGTTCATTGATTCTAGGACTCTTATAAATTTTGAGAATATAAACCAAAGTGTTGATTAAGAATAAAATTTTCCAAACCCTTTTTAATTAGGACAAACAAAAATAATATAGATTATACTTCTTTGCAAATAAAAACAGCAAACACACATCCTTTCACGTAAAGAATCAAGTGAATTAGTCCAAATTATTATTATTATTATCATTATTATTTGAGAGTTACTAATTAGAAATAAGAAATCATTGAATTATCTCACATCAAATTATTTTAATTCATAAATACAACTTTATGAATAAAACATAATTTGTCAAAAACTACTAATTATGAATAAAACATTTTTATAATATTAACTTTGTAAATTATAATTAGGTGGAAGAATTTTTTATATGCATGAATAGTCACTTGCATTTGTCAAAGACGTTGTCACTAGTAGGGTCTTTGAGCATGGAGGGGCCGTGAAAGGCCCCTGATTTTTATTCCTGAATGATAAGCTTAATTTAACAAATTATCTATTAATTTTCCTATATTTTTCAGTTTCGTCTATTATCTTTAGATTTTTCCAATCCTGTCTACTATCTTCCATATTCATTTCAATTTCATTTAATTCGTTATCTTTAACGGAAATATCCTTATTCTTCAAAAGAACAGTTAGCTCTCTAACTATATTTGTCTTGATCTTTTAGTCCTTAATTTTATATGTGCCTTGAAAATAGCTTTCATTCTTATCTTGCTAAATTTTTTAATTCTTCTAGAGTTGACGCTTTGCATACTTTATAGACATATATGTCCCATGGTAACTCATTAGTTCTATAGGGTGTCATTCCTTTTAGTGCTATAATTTTTGTTATAATATCAATCTATTGATCATAAAATCTTACTGACTTTCTTAATTCCATTCTTTTTTGGCTCTAATACCAACATTTTTTTGGGGTTTTCAGAACCTAACTCAAACCACAAACTAATGTATAGCTAGTATGCTAAGTTCAATGGAATCAGATCTATTAAGCAATTAGTAGAGATCATCTTTGCTTAGCCTTTTTGAGTCTTTTTAAATCTTTGTTTAAATTTGTTGTTGTTCACTTTAATTTTTTGAGTTTCTTGAAAAGATTGTAATCATCTAGATCTTCAATATTACTTTATTTTTCTAAAATATTTACTATTTTATTTCTATAATATTCGCATCACTGCTCATAAACCACTTTATCTACAATTATTTCTTGAATGGGGTCAAGCATCATAAAGTATTCTAAATAAGTTTCTAAGATGAACTTTTCTATTTGAAATATAAGAGGTCAGGTACTATTTCCCTATTATATCTAATATAAGAAATAATAATGTGTAAGAATAACAAGAATGTTTCTATGCTCACCTGGTTTTCGCATAAAAAAGAATGAGTTAGAACTATACCTAAAAATATCTTACACTAGCCTTTGGTCAAGCAGATGCTTCCTTCATTCAACCTTCAATGCCACACTCTGGCTGCATAGGTATTCGAATAAGACTAGTGACCTCACTGTTGTCTAAGTATCTTCAGTAGTTCTTCTCATTATTTTTTATGATGTAAATCAAGAAGGATAGAAGCAAAAGAATTATTCTAAAACATATTTTTATTTCTTAGAAGAGAAAGGGAAGTTTCCTTTCCTTTTGAAGGGTGTTTACAAATACATGGTAGAAGGATTTTCAAGTAAGGTATTTGGATGTTCAAATGCCCGAAACCTGTTACAGCTTATAGGAGGCTTTTTATAGCGCTCCTTAGAATCTTTTATTTTGTCATTGTTGACAATTTAAGTTTACATTATTGTCTGGTGATCTAGACTTACTTCTTGCTTTTGCTAAAGTAGATTACATGGAATCTTGCAAACACTCTTCTTCTTCTTTAATGGTGTAAGAGCTTACATCTTTTTGCATTGGATTCTTCAGAGGATGATGAGATCTTCTTCACTGTCTGAGGGGGTGGTTCCTTCATCACATGGGGCTTTAGCTTTTCCTTTTGCAAATTCTTTTTTGTAGCAGAAACCACAAAGATTGTCATGCTTTAATAGCTTGCATAATCTATTATGGACTACTTTACTGGCTGGGAACGTATTTACAAAGATTTCCTTTCTTTTCTACTTTATTTTGAACAAGCTAATGCTTGTCATTAATCTTGCACCAGTGAATACTACTGAGATTTCTTTGGAGAAGCCATATGCCCATGTCTTCCTTATCTCTATTATTCTATCAAAGGTCTGGAGTAAAACTTTGAATCCTAGAGCTCATCTCTCTTGGATGAATTCAATCCCATAAAGAGACTCTTCAAAGTGTTGAAAAATTTGATCTTCCTTAGCTTCTACCTTGATTTTCTTGGACTGAATTCCAATTTGAACTATATGATGACTAGGGAAATATTTAGATATCTCCCATTCTAGTGCTGCAAAGTAGATTTTGACAAATACTACCCCTTGAGCTTTGGTGCCAGTTTTGAAGTCCTCCATTCCTTGGCGTATAACTTCTAGAAGTTTTGAAACTTCTTCATTATCTTTTGAAAGATAAATGTAGTTTACAAAATCATAATTGAATAACTCTTTTATTGCTTTTGGGTTTGCACCCTGCATGAAATTAATTCTGGGATAAATCCCTTCACGGATAAGATGGCAATTCTTAGTGAACCTCATTGAATATGCCATTTTACAAACTCTGTAGTATTCTTGTAGATATTCTTCACTCATTGTCATTTTTGACAAGGTGTCTATTATTGTAACATTCTTTTCTTTCTTTCTTGAGTAATCAGGTTGAAAGTTATGACTTTTGACATTTTGAATAGCCGGCTTTTAGCTTGAGATGCTGATATTACTAAGGGAGACTATTTGACATAATAGTCAAACTTCTTTGAACTTTCTCCAAGTAATCCTACTAAAGGATCACCTTGTTCAAAATTTTCTTTTAGCTCTTGTTGGGAGCTTTTTTTTGCCATCTGGCTAGATTCTTTAAAGCTAATTCCAACAGTAGTAATTACTTCAAAACTTATTAATTTTTCTATCAACTCTTTGACTTCTTCAAGGGCATCTTGTCCCTTATTTAATAACTCATGGCCTTGAATAATTTTTCTTGGCCTTTATCCGTAAGGTTATGACCTTCATCAATTATTTCTTGGCCTTCAGTCATTTTTTCTTGGCCTTCTCTTATTTAGCTATTGCTCTCAATGACTATCTCCTGACCTTTTGAGGATAAGGTCTTTCCCTTTATTTTAGAGTTTTAGGATTGCATCCATTAGCTCCTTCTTTGCTCAAGAAATCTACAAGACAATTATTAGTTCCTTTGACATGTTCAATTTCAAAATCATATTCAGCAAAGAAAGTTTGCCATCTATTTAACCTTTTATATTATGGTGATAAAGGTAACTTATTAAAAATAAATCCCTTAACTTGAGTATTGTCAGTTCTGACCTTAAAATGTTTTGGTAATAAGATGAAACAGAACTTTTTTATTCCATTTTTAATAGCCAATAACTCTTTATGATTTGAATAATATCTAGTTTCTACATCTTTAAATATACCACCAACATATTTACAAACTTTTTCTTGAGAATTTTTCAAAACTGCTCCCTAATAAAAATCTGAGGCATCACATTCTAAAATTAATTCATCTTCTTTAGGCAATTGTAGCCTAGGAAGGTTTTTGCAATATTGTTTTATTCTTTTCACATGATTAGTGTGATAAATTTCCCATTGTTGATTTTCCCTTTTCCTGAGCAACTTTTGCAAAAGATGTCTTAATTGAGCTAGGTTTTAAATAAACTACTCTTCATAATTGAGTATTTCTAAAAACCTTTGAATTTGTTCTTTAGATTCTAATTTATCTGGGAACATCAAAGTTTTTTCACTAATGTGAGGTTGTAATTCTATTCTTGTGGAATCTATTGTTAATCCAAGGAATTCAATTTTAGTTTTTCCTATCTCAGCTTTCTTTTCAAAAAGTAATATTCCATGTTTCTTGCCTAAATATGCAAATTTCTTAAGATAACATAAATGTTCTTTTTCATTATCAGAGAAGATTAGGATGTTATCTACATAAACTATGCAAAATTTCTTGATGGAAGAAAATACATTATCCATCCTTCTTTAAAATAGTTGAGGTGTATTTTTTAATCCAAAAGACATTACTAACCACTCATAATATCCCATAGAGGCATTAAAGGCTATTAGTGGGATATTGTCAGGAATTAACTTCATTTGCCAAAATCTTGATTTGCAATCAAACTTTCAATACATTTTCTTTCCCCTAATGCTATTGATTAGAGTTTCTTTGTGTGGTAAAAAGTACCCATCAAATTTAGTTTTGCTATTAAGTTGTTTATAGTTGACAACCATTCTAATTTTTCCTCTTTTTAATTCATTATCATTTCTTACCATAAAGGTATGACTACTATGCGAACTCTTTGAGGCTTGTATAATTTTCTGAGCCATTCATTGTTAAAATTGCTTATCAAATTCTTCTTTATCTTCAGGACTATACCTCATTGGTTTGACTCTAATGATAGTTTTTGGGTCTATCAATTCGATTGTGGCATAAGTTTTATCAACTCCCCATAGTTTTGTAGGATCTTCTCCATAATTACTTCTTAATTCTTTTGAGATAGATTCTAACGTTATTTTTTCTTGTGTTTTTTCATTATTCCACAATGCTAACACTGGTTTTCTAACCTCTTTTGATTGAGTTTTTCTATTATCCTCACCACGTTGGCTGTAGAAGTTTAATGGTTCTATTGCTCTAGTACAAGCATTATAAATTCTTGAGGCATAAAGCCAATGTCCATAAGGTGTATAAAATTTTACATATGATGCAGTTTGAACATATTGCTTGAATTAACTTAGGATATTGTTTCCTAATAGAATGTCATTCCCATGCTCATTACTTTCATAGACTCGAGGAATTATTATTTCAGTTCCACCAATTATGGTAGTAACTATTTTTATTATTGTTTTATATTGAATAATACTTCCATCTATGGCTACACATTTCAT